TGTCCATGGGGTTGCATGTAGGTCACTGCACATGAAAGCCTCATGGCTAGAGACATCCGTGTCTGGTAATGGCCTGTGGGCATTTCCTGTGGTAAATTGCTCAGGGAAAATCACAATCTCTTTCCCACTCTTCCATGGCCCACACAGCACCTGAGATGGGTGTGACCTGCCAAGATGTCAATCAACCTGCTGACTGCAAGATATCAAGAAGCAGGACTCTGCCCTTGAAACCTTATCCCTGCCTTTGATATACCCCCTTAAATAAATCACGGAGCCATTTCCCCTTTGTCTAGTTCCAGAATCCATGTGGACTAGATCTACCAGGGGCTTTGTATTTCTGAGTATATGACCTTTGTTACTTGCTAATTATCTGAGATTATAAATTGTAGGGTGGCTTGGATTCCCCTGGGCAGGAAGAATCCCCCAAAGAGACATTGGTCATTATCCCTCGGAAAAGTTATCATTTCCTATAATTTTATTTGTTTCATATATTTAATTTGATCTTAATTTTCCTTTGTTTAACTGATTTTTTAGTATGAAAATCAGGGATTTGCATTTGAGGTCTTCGGTGTGTCATATTTGTATAGTTTCTGTAATGCTAGCTAATGGTCATGAATTCCTTTCGTTTAACCTTATCTTGAAAAATTTTTGTTATTTCTTTGATTGTGAATGATGAATTTTCCAGATAAATCTTGGTTGGCCATTGTTTTCTTCCAGGGTTTGGTTTATCTCATTCCATACCTTTTTGGCTTTCATCTGCACACCCTTTTCAAAATCCCAATGACTCTTAACTTTGGTCTCTTAATGATGTCACATATTGCTTGTGTACTCTGATCATGATTTTTATTTTTATTTTCTTCCTGCCTACTGAATGTTCAAGTTCATATATCCTCTTCTTCAGGATTGAAATTCTGTTTTCTATAAAACATATTCTGTTGGTGAATCTTTCAAGTGAATTTTTATTTGATTTATTATATCTTTCATTTCTAGAATTTCCTTTTCAGAAACTCTCTTTCACTTCCAGCATTTGCTCTCCTAATCCATTCCTTAGATCATTCTTTACCTCATTAATAATTTTAATTTCAATTTTCTCTAATATTTCTCTGGAATTTCATACTCTTTGATATAAGTGTGTTCCTTTAATGGGGGATTATAAATTGTGGGGAACTTCTTTTTTCTCTTATTTTCAGATATTTGAGACTTGCACATCTGTTGAGATGAATTCCAATTCCTCTTTCATGAGGGATGTCCTTTGGGGAATATTTGTCTGTGCCCTATTAGTCTTGTGTTGTCTGTGCATCTTATCATCAACCCATAGTTTCAGTGTAATCCAAGTCTTAAATTGCACCTCCAGTCCCTCTCAGTTCCCCTTTGCAAAGCTGCTGGTTTGATTTATTCTTAGAGAGTTGGTACAATGTTAAAGATTCCTGGGAGACTCTGTTTTGGAGACTTTGTTTTTGCCATGGGAATGGATCTCCTCCAACACACAAATAGTTGTTCATATTTGGGGCCTGATCATTTGGAGGTTTTGTTTCTCCTATATTATATGTTAAAGTACTGTTAAAGTTTGAGTAGGGTTAGTTTGTGTGTAGAGCAAGGGGTTCTATCTCTTGTCTGGGTTATGGTTGAAGCTAAGCAGCAGAGTCTCTCCCCAGTGAATTCAGTGTCCCAGAAGATTCCCAACACCTCTCAGAATGTTGGTAATAAACAACAGCAGCAAAATATATATGGCATGAAAATGAATACCAAGTGTTTACTATGACATCCACAACACTAATTACCACATAAAGAAGAATGGTGGGGTCAGTAATTAACAACAGCAACAACAACAAATAGTAAGTAACTGGATCTACCCTTAAAGTAAGCAACAAGTGTCAACTATGCTATCTGTAGTACTAAGAATCACAGCAATGTTAATGGTAAAGTGTTATAGTTAAATACAAAGTGTCTCCCAAAAGCTCAAATGTGAGACAAGAATGAGAGGCAAAATAATTAGATTTTGAGAAATGAAACCAAATTAATGAATAAATTCACTGATATGGATTGACTATGAGGTAAATGTAGGGAAGTAGATTGTGGCTGGAGAAAATAGGTAACTGGGGGTTTGCCTTTGAAGTTTATATTTTGTCCCTGATAAGTGAAGCACTTCTCTGCTCCTTGGCTGTTATGTTCTGAGCTGCTTCCTCTGCTGTTTCCTTAAACCATGATGTCGCAGAGCTATGCAGTCAGTCAACTATTTAGCCATAAGCAAAAATCTTATTTTTTCTTTCCTCTGTGTTGTTCTTATAAAATCTTTTGTTCATGGTGATGAAAAAAACCTGAATAAAACATAGAAGTAGGAATTATATCAACTAAATAGTTCTAAAAGATGATAAAATTACAGTTTATTAAGCAAAAGAAAGGCAGGGTTGGAAGGCAAAGGAAGTTTGGAATATACAAACTTTGAACAGAGAGAAAGCAGAAGAGTGGTAGCAAGTTATATCTTCAAACAAAGAGGAGAAAAAATAAATAAAAGAAACAAACAAATACAGCCAAAGAAAAAACAAGATCATATGTGTATTACAGGAAAAAGAAAGAGTAATGCAAGAAACAAACACACACACACACACACACACACACATAAAAATCAAAAGAAAACAAATACACAAAAATCCTTAACTTTCAAATGGCAAAATAAAATTTATGTATGTGTGTGTGTGTGTGTGTGTGTGTGTATAAAATGAGCCAATCAGCACAGCAAGAACACCAAAAAGAAGAAAAAGAAAAAAGAAAGAAAAAACAAAGAAAAATTTAAATAATTAAAAAGGTAATTCCAGAGGCTGAGGAGTGTGAGGCTTGAGGATAGAGAGTTCAAAGCCGACCTCAGAAATTCAATGAGGAACTTAGCAACTCACCTGGACCCTGTTTCTATATAAAATACAAAATATGGCTGGGGATGTGGCTCAGTGGCTGAGTCCCCTTGAATTCAATCCCCAGTAACTTGCCCTCCACCCCAATAAGGTAAAACCGCTTAATGAGAAATGAAAGGATTGTCACCTTGAGATAGTCACAAATGTTGGCAAGGATGGATGAGTGCTGCCTGCCTGTCTCACATTGCCCTTCTTTCTGTTTCTTCTTGGACCATGTGCCTCTTAGAAAAAGGCAGGGTTAGGTGCTGTTAGACCCTTCCTATTTTTGCGTTGCTCATAAAGTTGCTGGGATGGCATGGAACTGATGCAGATTGAAATCGCTCTCAGGCACCCCTCCTTACCAGTATAAAGTAGGATGGGATGTGAAGTGCTCTTAATTGGAGTTTGTCTGGACAGACTTATCAATGCACTTCAAAAATCTCTCAAATCAATGCAGATATTTAAATGGGAACTTTGGGTATCTGGGGTATAGCTCCTAATCATACTTTTGTGAATTTGTCAGGTGTTATCTGATCTAGAGAGATTTGATCAATGCACCCCTAGGGATGGGCAGATGCTAATCTCTGCAGTGCTTCTGGATCTCAGGGGACACCCAAGAATGCTACCATTAGGGTGGGGTAACCAACCTTGTGCAGGTCTTGCACACTCTACCACTCATAAATGTGGTCATCCCAGGCTCAAATTTCTGAGTGCAATTTTGCCCATTTGTCCAGTTTCTGGACCCTCTTTATCTGGTTCTAGTAAGCCCACAGACTAAAAGAGAAAGTGAGCCACATACAACTTTATATCACCAATGTGAATCTCCTTGGGCACAATTCTCTCTCTGCTCATGTTCATTATACTCTGCCTGGCACACCCAGGTTACAAAGTAAGTACTAGCTCGGACAGCATGGTATTATTTGCTTTGATCTCCTGGGCTCCTGTAGCATCAATCCCAGTGAGATCTCTTCAAGATGGTTCCCTGCCTCAGCTCTCTGCTTGACACTTCAGAACCATAGAGAATTTTCCAACAGCCAGCTATGCAACCTCTATTTCTGTTCTGCAGATTTTCCCATGCTCAATTTGTCCATTGTGGTTCTCTCTGCTCTTGTTGCATCTTCCCTCTGTAGTGAACTGGTGCTGCTGCTGCCACCAGATTGGCTCCAATGTATTCCTTCTTGTCCTCTGTTCAAAGCACTCGAATTTCTGGTTCTCTAAGATTCTCTGACTGTCTGATATTGAATTTCAATGAATTCTCTCTGTCTCCCACCTTGCTGAGAAACAGCCCTTCTGCTGCTTGAATCCCAAGTCTCCTAACTACTGAAAAGGGTACCCTTCCTCAAATCTGCCATCTTTAACTATAATCTTATTTATTCTAAAGTTATAAATACCTCAGTTTCATCATCTGTGAAATTGGAATAATGTCACCTTAGGGGAAAATGCTTGAGGATTAGCTACTTAATGTTTACTGCATTGTTTATTATAATAAGTTCTTTAGAGGCTGGGAAAAGTATGTGGTGAATACAGAATGAGGTGAATAAATCAATACAAATAAAACCTTTGCATATATAGTATATGTATGCATAGAAAGTAGATGACATGGAGGAGAGTGATAAAATATTGTCTTAAGTGGAAGAAAGAAACAGAGCCCTGGAAAGTACAAAGTGGGTCATTCCTAATGGGTGAAAATATTCCACATAACATACTGTCCCTTGCCAAACATCTGATTTATAACAGCCAGCTGCATTTTGAGTATGCCCTTAATGTGTATTTATATTTTTAAACGTCAAGAAGCTTATAGTCTTTAAAAGGAGCATTTACAGTTGTTTGAGCTTTAGAATCCTTTTCTAAGGAAGCATCTGGGCTTGCCTACAGTTTGAAAAATATGTTGTCTTCCTTTCAGTGGTTATGTTTCTTATATGTCCCATGACCGTGTAATGCTATGTTGCCTGGAGTAGATGTCCCTGGGAGTCCAGAGAGTCAACTGACTGTCTAATTTCTTACAAGACAATGATCATATATACTCAGGGTTACTATATGCTGGTAGCTGGGAAATTTGACTCTCTCCAGCAGAAAATTCAGAAGATAAGAAAATATTATCTGCCTAAGAAACCAGAGGCATGTTTAAGTTTTATTAGTTTCCTGATAATGTACTTGGAGGACTGTTAATTGTTTTGACCATTCTATCTGGTACCTGGTACAATACCCAACAGTGTCCTCAGAAGCAAGGCAACTTGGTACTCTCAACCACTGAATCCTCAGGTATCTTAGACACTGCAAATGATTGAAACATTTTTATTAAGAATCACCAAAAGAACATGAAAATAATGCATTCCATACAGCTTCAATCAATATTCTTTCTGAAAGTTTATAGCTATATTCTGAATGTTTTAAGTAGAAATAGAAACTTTGAAAATGGGGTATTTTAACTATTCTTGTTGGCAACATGTTCTGAAAATTTTCAGATGCATGCCTAAGAGCAAAACTACAGGGTCCTAGAAGGTTGTAGTGGTCTGGGACGAAGGAACTTCTCTAATTCCTCCATCTTTGATAACAGATATCTAGAATTCTGGAATTTTATAACTCTATGAGCCAACGTAATTAAGTATGTATCTTGATTTATTTTTTCCCCTAAAATCACAAAATCTAGCTTTTGTTTTGATTTCAAAATCAGTTTCAAACTACTAGGCCTTAACACCTCTTGAGTCTTCCATGTCACCTTTCTGGGTTGTTTAATGCATTCCATTGAGGTATAGAAATAGAATACTCTGTTTCCAATTCTAGAACCATTGCCAAAACTTCCCAGGATTTCTACTTGGATGGACTTGGATTATCTTCTCAAAACAATAAACTATCACTGTTAAGTGTTAAATTGTTAATAAAATTAAGCTTATAAGTTTCAATAGATTCAATCTAGATCACCCATTTAAAGTGCTACACTCACTCACTTTGCTCTAATACTCCTTCTTAGGGGAAAAGATGGAAAAAGGATGCAGTTCTTCTATTTATATTGAAGACTATCTGAAGCTTGGTTACTTTTACAGGAGGATGTTGTAAAAACCTGTAAAAAAACAGATTATCATCACCTATAAATTGTTAACTTCCAACCAGAGGATATTGCGTTGGCAGTATGCTTCACTACACTGTTTATTTGACGAGAAGGTTGAGTGCAAGTTTTTCTCAGAAGAAAAGATACCAATTGGGCTCATAATTAGAGTTTCAAGGGAAAAATGAAAAGTATAATGTAGGCTGATAATCGTGAAGCTCTTACTTCTCATCCCTCTTCAAATACTTCTAAACAATGAATGCATAAAAATAGCAAGACAGGAAATCACTGTAAAGTTTGTCCAAAGGTAGAACTAAGGCAGACAATGTGCAGATTAATAAATATGTGCAGACTAATCACTAACAGGGACCCTATTTAGAAGTAACCAAAAGTGATAATGCACAGCAATATACTTTATGACATGCACAGTGGTTGTAAGCATCACAGTGAGCATTGTCCCTGGTGCTGAAACAGTGGTAAAGAATAATTAACATTCTCTTCAGCAAATTATTGTGCTCTAAAACAAGACTAGCAGTATCCCAGTGTGAAAATATCTAGAGTTCTCTGAAAGTGTGGGTCATGTTCTACTAATCTTGATATTCCCCACAATACCCAGACAAAATATTTTGAATCGAACCAAATCTCCAATACATATATTAATTTGGCAAATAATAAGAGTTAAGAATAGCCATAAAATAAATATTCTACCCCTCTAATTTAAATAAGCAGCAAGGTGAGAAAGAGAGGATAAGATAAGTAAAATGATATCATAGCAAAATCTATTAAGTTTCTGTTAAGGGAAGAGAACAAGGAGTGTAGAGAGTATAATGGCAAAAAAGGACAGAAAAAGAACAGAACGATTTAAATTTGGTCTTTAATGGCTTCTCTTTTAAATGGAGTGTTGTTCTTGAGAAAGAAAGAGTAGAATCAACATCACTCAGAGAGAACTACAGCTCAAGATGGGTGGGGAAATTAGGAAAAATTAAATGATGTTGATTCTTCCTACTGGGACAAATTACAACCTTGGGGAGTACTGATAAACTTCACAATTGAAGTAAATTAATTATTGAGAGTGTTTTTAAAGAAATAATGAAGATGTGCACGAGTGGTAGAGACCAAAGATAAGCAAGTACTTGATTTTCAGAAGAGAATATGTGAATTTTGGGAACTAAAGTATTTTACTGTTGATTGTTAGAATATAATGCAATGCTCATTAAGGTATACCATGGATTCACTAAGCACAGTGCAATCCTGGTTTGCAGATTCTTTCTCTCAACACACAATCATTAAGATTTTAAATTTTAAATCATACAGGTATAGTTGATCTGGATTTCAGAAGGATACTTCCTACCACCCTCACCACTGATGAATTGTTAAGAATCAAGATACATGGACTGTATCATATTACTAGCTAGATTTATAATGGATCAATTGCAACCATAGTGTGTATTGGATGCCTGGAGGAGCATTAACTAAGAAGAATCTAGTAGCTTTGAACTGAGCTCTGTTCTTGACCTTGACCTATCAAATATTCTTAAAATTAATTAAATGAACATCACATATGTAAATAAAATGAACATGGGGACAGAATAATGAATCCACTGGGTGATAGAATCTGGGTTAAAAAAATAAATTCAATATACCAGAAGACTGAGACAACTCTAAATCAACATAATATATTACAAGGTAATATTAGGTCTTGTTTGTAAATGTAAACAAAAGTACTCATGTAGGTATGAGTTGAGGCAGTGCAGGTAACATTTTTGCCTATGGAGAAAATGTTCTAAGTTTCTAATTCCATGATGAGAGTTGTCAAAAATCCAGTGCAAACTTAAGCAGCAATAAACATCTAGGAATTATCTAGAAAGTAGAAGAACATTATCCCACTTTACTCTGCATCATTTACATCATTCCTAGAAAATTATACATAGTGCTGAGTGCTGTAGCGATATAAATAAACCTAATTACATTCTGAAGAGAAGAACTCAAAACCATCACATGAGACACAGTAGAAGAACTGAGACCACGTGGCCATGAGAACAGGTTAATGTTAGTTTTAATGCCCATTGGGAAGCTGAGTACCTTGAGAAAATAATCATTTGAGTACTAAGAAATTGCTTTTCTTCCTTAAATTTTATCTTATGCTTTAAAAGTGATTTTATCCCACTAATAAAAGCAACATAAATTCACTGTAAAAAAATCAAGAAAATATAATATTAATATACAAAAGATGATATCGTCATTATTTTTAGTATTTGGTCTATTTCATTGATGTTTTGGGGTATATATTTCCAATAATATCATATCTAACTGTATGTTTTCTCAATTTAGCATTATATAATAAAAGCCTAATTTAAAACTTTTATTTACTGTCTAGCTCAAATCTGACAATTTTCTGAGGATATGAAGAAATGCCTTTGAATTTTTCAGCCTGCTTTCAAAATTAAGCATCTGCAGTGTAGAAGAATCTCAGGGACCATCTCATACATTATGATCTCAGAAGAGAATAAAAGAGAATGTGTCACCTGCTGTAGGACTTACATGCAAGGTTGTATATGTTGAGAAGAGGCATAGAATAAACATGTAAGCAAGCAAATAAACAAAAAAGTAATTTCTGATAATGTATACTACAGTGAAATTTGATTTGACAAATATACCCCTCAGAACATGTGAGGTGTGACGTTTAAACTGAACTTAAATGACAAAAGCAAGCAAGCAATGCACAAATCTCACAACAGTTTCAGGCAGAAGAAAGAGCAAGTCTGAAAGTCTGTCAAGGTGAGAGAATAAACATGACATGCTCATAGAACGGAAAGAAGGGCAGTGAGGCTGGAGTTTAACAGTGAGAGAGTGGTATAAGGTGAGGTCACATAGATACTCAAGGTGAGGTCGTGACAAGGATCTTTAATTTTTATTCTACATGCAAAGGGAATTTGTTGGAAGGCTTTTTGAGCAAGAGGATAACCTTATCTGGTGAAATTTTAAAAAATATCTTTTTGGTTACTGCACAGATGATAGATTATAGTGGGATCTAACATCATACAGACAAAATACTGAAGTGTCCCAGTGAACAGAAACATCAGACCGATGTTAAGGTTAGTTATATCTGCTAAATGTGCAAGAGTGAATTAACCTCTCTGAACATTGCATTTCCGTTGTATGAAATGGGAAGTATAATATTACATGTTGTAAGATGTACCCTCACAGATGCTTATTTGCTATCTCAATACATGAATTTAAAACTTCAAATAACTAAGCATATACTATTTTTTTGGCATGTAAAATAAGAAACTGAAAGAGAAGATTTAAAGATGCTGCTACAAACCTTTTAGGTTCTCATGAACTTAATCACATGGTATGTGATTGAATTATTTTGCATTCTATTCTCATCCTTCCAAGATACTCAGTGAAAATAAATAAAGTAAATCAAGTGTTGGTGATTTTTCAAGACTGATGACTATGTCTAAAGACATAGGAGGCGAGAAAAGGATAGGGGATTAGTCTTCAAGACAATAAAAGAAATATCCCTTAGTAAGCACAAATCACATAAATAAATTATGTAGTTTAAATCCTTCTAAGTGAACTCCAAGGACCTACTTCACCTATTAAATTATCTCTAAATATTGCTCTTTAAAGCCAGCTTCTTGGATAGACTATAGATATATTTTGTCATATTGTGATTGTTATTTGTTTCTATTGGAATTGTCCTCCAGCCTAAATTCAAATAAAATAATGTTGCTTCTTTTAAATTTTATTTTACTTAATTTTATTACATGGGAAATGTCAAGAGAACTATGCCATAGAAAAACCAAAGGTTAAATAAAGAAACCCTTTTGGTTGCTGTTTCCAGTAGGAAACCTGAGCAGCAGGGCTGAGTTGGTGAGAGGGCACCAATTCAGTGAGGACTGAATAACCCTGCCTTTCAATTCAGGTCTTTATTCTCCTGGCATCCCTGGAGGCTACCCCTTGTGCAACAGCAAGCTTAGCTGCTGGGTTAGTGTTGCTTTCTGTTGTCATTTTAGGATGACTATAAGACCTCTTCCCAAACTGCTTCTTTTTATTTGACTGATAATGCCTCCAGAATGACCCATGTCACAGTCTCAGTTCTGAGGCCGTTCTTGAATAAACTTGAAGACAGACTCAAATATACACACTGGATCATCAGAGAGTAATCCACTACCAAGGTGGCCTCCTTTGTTCTGAGGGGGAGCCTTGTTTTGAAGCCATGCAGTGTTGCTTCAACCACATTTTAGTGATTTGTGGTTTGACACATCTTGCCAGGTTAACAATGTGACCTCTTCAAATTCTTTTTTTGAGCAGTCAGGGAACAAAGAAACAAACCAACCAATTTTGTCCTCTTGGAAAGGCTATTCCAATGGCAGATTTAACAGGCTCAATGGAAAGCATCTTGTCTGGAAGCTGCAATCTTGGAGGTGATTATTACCAACTTTCTGAGTAGCTTTAGGGGCCATTGAGAGCACTGAGCTAGTAGGACAGAAGCTGTTACATTAGAGAATCCAGGAAAATGGGAGAAAATGTCATGTCCTTTGGTCTTTACTAACATAATGCTGGGAAGTTCCATTCCAACTCGGGGGAGGGGGATGCCATTCTCCACCAAAATGCCTGATTATATTTGCTCTGGGCTTCTCTCAAGTGTATCCCCACATTTATATCTCAGAGCTAAATGTATCAGTGTGCCTGCGTGTGTCTCTGTGAGTGTGCAAGATCACATTTAACTTCTCTTACCTCAACTCAGGGATATTTAAGTCTATTTTCTGATGCAAGAGATTATAAATTACTTAAACATGACAATACCCAGAAATGGTATTATATTGCTCTTTTGGCCTAATGCAGCTGTGTATCTGCTAGGTCAATTGGAAGTTTACCTCTTTTAATCGAAGCATACACACTAACTGGAGAGTGGCTGTGTTACATTATTATTTCCCAAAAATGAAAAAAAAAAAGAAGTGTACTATGAGCATCTTTTTAGACATTTGAAAAGACTTGTTAACACACACGTCTTAAAAGATATATTTTTGGGGGGTTAAAATAGAAAGTAAAATCTGTTCAGTGGAAAACAGATTAAGGGCCATAGAAGGTAAATTATACACCATGAGGAGATTTAAATGGGCATCACATGGAAAGATATTCCAATGTATGAGAGCATTAAGAAAGACCCATACCCCTCTCTATGTCACAGAAAGAAGCATTACATGCTGTCTTCTGAATTTTGAAGCCAAAAGTGGCATGACCTTCCCAGGAGCTAGGGAACAGCCTTAGAATCTGTCTTGGCTCAAATCCCAGAAACTGGGTTCTCTGGATGCTAAAGGCAACATACTGTACCTGAGAAGCCACAGAAATAAACTTCTTTTAGAGGCAGCAAGGCTACACAACCTAAAGGGCTTAGGGTAAGGTTTTGTTGCTCCCAATGAAATTAGTTTCTTCTTTATCACAAAAGGAAACACATTAAGTACACACTAACAGCAGCTTTCTGATATGCTTGGCAGAGCACAAGATCCAGAGGCAGAAATGTAAGAATAAGTCTCTACTGTTACAAGGGATCCTAGCCAAATCACACATTCTCATTAGGGCTGCAGTTTCTTTAACCTGTGAAATGGGAATGATAATAGTTAACATAGCTCAGGCATGTACTAGGTTCCAGGCACCTGTACGGTAAGGTTTGCGGTAGCATCCCTCTTCATGAAGGTCACTCCTTAAGAGCCTGTGCTGGAGGGAGACCAGACTGAGTGGGAGCCCCTAGCTGTCACACTTTGGAATCCAAAGATGCTGATTCTGAGACCCTTCCACCCTCACTATTTCCCTGACAATGAATTACACAGTGGGAATTCTAGAACTGAGCTAGTCCTGCCTCATGCAGGACTCCTTTTTGTTTGGACTGAGTCTAAGAATTATAGTCCGAAGTTCTTTCAATCCAAACCTCTCTATCCATTCTTCTATTCACAAGGTCAATTCACATTACAGCTAAGCCCTTCTTCCCCTTCCTTTGTGCCATCCTTTATCTTCCACCTGTGTTTCTCCCAACACATTTCTTACACATCTCCTGCCATCAAATGGTCTATTCTTTGGATGACTCACATTGACACCCATAGAAAGGGATTGAAATGACCTCATTTCATTCTGATAAAAAGTCCATGAAATTAGTATTACTCTTGTCACTTCACAAATAAGGAAACAGGGGCACAGAGGGACCAAGAAGAAAATAAAATAACAGTCCTTATTTCACAAAGTTGTGAAAATGTAATGAGATACTACAAGTGGAAGGGATTTACAGCTGGTATTTTTTAGGTCAGAGGGGAAAATTCAAACAGAATATCTAAGCATTACCTTCCCCTTTCCCTGGTACTGGAGATTGAACCCAGGGCTTTTCACATATTAGGTGAGCACTAAGCTACATCCCTAGTCTACTTTATTGTGAGACAATGTCTCATTAAAATTGCCCAGGCTGGCCTCAAACTTAGATCTTCTTGCCTCAGTCTTCCCAGTGACTGGAATTACAAGCATGTGCCATCATGCCCGGTGTTTGCTTATTTTGCTTCTGCTGATGTCTTCTTTTAAATCTTTAGTTTTCTACAAGTTTCAGATTCTTATGGAAAGCATTTTACTCCTCATGCACAGGTGTCATGGGAATATAATACTGTAACTTTAGCCACCTCTGTCCCACAGTTATCCACCTATTTAATTTAGAGACAAGGAAGAGTAGCATTTGGACATGTGAGTCAGGGCACTATGACATGCTTAACACGACGTTCTGATCTCTAAAACTAGAGTTCAGTTCTCCTAACCTCCCTAATTGGTTTAATAGTGAGCAATTTACTAGCCCCTGACGGAGGCAAAACTACACAAAATGACAGTCATTTTGCTTGGTTAATACCCTTCCTAAGCATTCAGGCATCTTAACAAAAATCTTGTCATCCAAATGTATAATGTGCAGTGTGGATAGCCAAAATATACTTTCTCTCAACCCTGATCATTAAGCCTACTTTATAAACTATTGGTGAAAGAGAAGCTCCCATAAAAATTTTACACATACCCAACTGAGTTCACCAGAACATTTCTCATATCATCCATTGATATGCCAATTTGTACCCTATATAGAATGCAGGCTTCCTTGATCTTCATCTGCTTCATGGGTATAATTACGAGCTGCTGAAATGATAATCTTGATCATAAAACTCAGGTTATTTCTAGGGACCAGTCAAACAGTAGGCAGAATGCTATTGAAGAAGGGAAGTTGTGAGCTATGGATTGTTCTCAAATCCCCAGATGCTCAGCATAATTCACTCTGACAATTTCTAGCACTGCTTTTACTGAGTTATGGGGAAGATGGGGCAGGAAAAAGCAAGGTGAAAGAAACAGCCAAGGTAAGGCTGAGCCTGAGCCCAGGGTAGCAGAGAGCACAACTGTGTACATCACAGTGCCACTAAACTCCTGAAGGGAATCAGCAGCTTTTATGCGTTATCTGCACATTCCGCTTGAAAATGAAAGATGGGAGTAAGCAACCGAGATGGAACTGTTGCATTTGTGGAGTTCCCAATAGTGCTTCTAAAAGAGATGTACTGATTAGACCAATTGATGAGTTTGGAATCCTTTGGGAGTCAGAAAGCCCATGGCTTCAAGCTGACTGAACATGCACTTCTAACAGATTCAGCAATGTCAGAGAATTCCAGGGAGCTTAGCAAAAGATCAGGGAATAGCACATCCTCCTCCTGCTTATTCTGGCAGCTCCTTCCCTGACTGAGATGCATTCCTTGGGATGGAAGTGCCAGCTTGCTTCTTCCCCAGGGGCTGTAGGCTGCAGGAAACTGAATCCCTGAGTGTGGGTGTCACTGGCTTCTTCATTTGTTTTCATTTTGCCACCAGACACATCTATTTAAACTACTTGGAAAAATATCTCAATAGCATTCCTGGGATCTGCTCCAGGAGAGAGGGGATGGATCTTTCTGCACTCTCCTCTGTATCTGGCCTTCAACCCTGGTTGGTCACCCCAAGGTTACAAAGACCTTTACCCAAGAGCTGTCCTAGGTTCCTAACAGTTTAACCAAGAAGCCAGATAGCTGTCAAGTGTGGTCTGAATGACAATGTCACTATGCATTTAAATGATGAGTTCACATCCATTTATCAAAATGAGGCCTGACAACACACCAAAAATATTATATGCACTTTAAAACATAAATCACTAGCCCATCTCTATTCCAAGTTTAGCCAACCTTCTGAAAAATCCAAATACTGCTGTTTCCTTGTAAAACAAGGACCTGTTTAATATTTACTGAGATTTTTGTTTAAAAATGAGGCCATGCCATATTTCCTTGGCCTAGCTCTTGCAGGTTATTCCATGATTACATGATCTGGTAGGTAAATATATTATTAGAAGTGAATGAGTTTTCCTAGTTCCTTGTTTTCACAAGGGGAGCCCTAAGCAGGCTCTTGGCTTTTCTCTGACCCTTTACTTCTTGCCCCTAGGTAGAGGAGGATAGCATACAAGCTGGTTAAATTTGAAAAAAATAGCACTTAGTTGGCTCAGTTTCATTCTTTCTTCTTCTCAGAAGGGACCTCTCCCTTGAAATGACAGCATTCTCTGCTTCTCCTTGCTGTCAGTCATGCAAGGATTTGCTTCTGTGTTTCAGGCAGCCCAGAGCCAGTGTAGCCATACTCAGGTGGGGCATGTCTTCCAAATCTGGGGCTCAGTATTAGCAAACCCACATGAATAAAACCCCAAACTATAACTTCTAACTTTGTCATCCTCAGTTCTAGGATAATATTCTGGCCTCTATTTCCTCTTCATTTTCTTTGAATCTTGTCCATAACTCAGGCCAAGAAGATCCTATTGGCTAGGAACCACCTGAAGACACAAGAAACTATGATGTAAAACTAGAGTTCACTTCTCCTAACCTCCCTAATTGGATTAATAGTGAGCAATTTACTCACTATTTGGGGCCAGAGTTGTGACTCAGTGGCAGAGCGTTTGCCAAGCATGCATGAGGCACTGAGTTTGGTCCCCGGCACCACATATAAATAAACAAATAAATAAAGTTATTGGGTCTATCTACAACTAAAAAAATAAATAAATTTAAAAAAATGCAATTATGGAATTAGGCTCACTATTACTGTGAAGAGAACTATAACATAATCATGGGAATAACTGTTTAGGTAAGAGTAAAATAAGAAAATTATCCCTGGGTTGATATGACTCCCAAACTGAAAATAAGGTAATACAGAGAGTATTCTATAAAGAAGTAAATAGAATAATGAAATATGCTAACTGCACAACATATTTGCTATTTAGGAACTTTATGTGAACTTGGTGGTAAAGTTAGTGACTAAACTTGCATATACTATCACACACACACACACACACACACACACTCACTCACTAACCAAATGACATTGCTGAAAACAGATATCGCATGTGAAAAAGAAAAAGCTCTCTGGAAATAATCAACAGCTACAGAATGATATTATTACTGTTTCTTTCTAAAAAATGCTCACATTCAAGATGGAGAATTAACTGGAGGAAACTGAAGAGAGAATATAGCAAAGTATGGAATCAAGAGCACAAGATTCTTTTCAATGCCCTAAAATGTTTGTTACTTGGTTAATAAAAAAAAAGTACATATTTTTTCTGGTAATAAAGTATACAATATTATAAATTGATATTTGTAATTTTGGGTAATTTGTTGCATTTTTAAATCTTACTGCCATACATATGTTTGTTGCACAATGCATATTTTGTTATGAGGAAACATACTCATTTTTGGCACATTCATCATGGACATGCCTATTAGCAGTATTCCGATCTGTCTGTCTGTTTGTGCCAGGCATATGCAGAGCATGCCAGCGGCCCTCCTACATAGGATACTCCCATGTTTATGACAAATAGACAATAAGATCCTGTACCTTAATTTCCTATGAGGAAAGAGCTGAGCACATGACATCCTATTCTGGAGAAAGAGGCCTGCCCCTCCATGTGACAAAGGTAATCCACATGGGCACTCAGATGTCCTGACACTCACAAAAGGATCACTTTTTTGTCTCACCCAATTATTTCGAATAGAGTGTACACAAATAGCTTGTTGCACAATTCTCCCAACCAAAAAGTGGCATAGCTCTCTTGAGCCTGAATCCTCAGAAGTTAACTACAGAAAGTATCTACTCCCATCAATTCCATTCTTCCCAGATTGGGAATAAGCAGCCCCACACTTGAAGTCTGTATGACACACAAGCCACAGAAGGTAGTTCTAAAGGTTTATTCCTCCTCATAGAATACTTGCTTCTTTAATATGTATATATTTGTTTATAGTACATATTGTCCTCATTTCCAAAAGGATTGGAGAGAAAAATATGTCTGTTAACTGACTCTTATTCATTTCCTAGTTCATTTTAATGCCCATATTATTTTTCTCTTGCTGAAACTTTTCACTAAAATTGATAATATCAATCATATGTTTGGCAGGCATTCCTTTTAATAGTAATACATTAAGAATATGTAATTTCATCACATTCTTAACTATAATTCTATATTTGTTTATCTGGTTACATTTATTGGTATACATGAAGGAGAAGGATAATACATTGATCAAATACTATGTACAAACATGTACATGTATCTGGTGACCTTGTTTTGGAAAGATAAATATGTACGGTGTGTGTGTGTGTGTGTGTGTGTGTGTGTGTGTGTGTGTGCGTAAATATACACAAAAATGATCAATTACCAAAGCCAGTCATATAAATTCAAACACAGAAAAATGGACATATTACTTTCATGACCTATTGTTTCTTATATATTATGAAACTCTTAAATGTGATAAGAAATCTAGAGTTGTAGAAACAGGGCAACTTGTCTTTCATGTGAACTTAATGGTTAAATTTTTCATTTATTTTACTTTAGATTTATACCCAAATGCTACACTAATGCCTCCCTTGAATTAACACAAAGTAAAATCTGGT